TTTAGCCACTCAGCTATATGTGAATTATTCTTATCTGTTCTGTCTCGCACATCGTTCTTGTTTTCTTAATTAAGTTTAATTCCATTGCATTGGAATTAAACTTAATTAAGAAAACAAGAACGATGTACGAGACAGAACAGATAAAAATAATTCACATATAGCCGAGTGGCTAAAGAGCGTTGCGTAACGCGATGCTGCTTGGAATCCAGTGCGAAGCAATAATTTTTTTTCTGTTCTGTACATATTTTTCCATCGAATTTTATTAAAATATTTTTGGCTTATGATCAGAATTACCCTTTGAAGATCTCAACATGAGCGGTGGTAATGGACCACGCTGAACCCGAATATGCTATTTTTATTCACCGAGAACATAATCCTTTTTCATCAAATTTTATGCATATGGTAGACAGCATACGGATTAATTCAGCTTGAAAAAATGAAGCTCCTTCTACTTGATTGGATTAAGTGTCATACACTTATGCGATTTTCAAGAAAAAGAAATAAAAAAAAACAAGATTTTTGAATATGAATTAAACAAAAGAACGCTTCAGACGACAGAAAATATTTTAGTCGTCTAATAAATTGTTAAATTTCAAAACTAATTTTAATACTCAGAATTTATAGAATGTTTATTATATAATTAAATTTTTAAATAATCTTTTAATTATGAATTATCATCGTAAAGAATGTTATACACTCTTCTCAATATATGTACACGAAGTTTTTCTCTTCGCTCTGTCGTAAGTATATATATATATATATACGTCATCGCGAATGACTGAACGAAAGAAGAACCTAAAGAAAGAACAAAAAAGTTCTTCTTGCAGGAAATTTTGTTTGAAAAAATTTTGCTTGGGACTACACTATACCCCGCGCTCATATTCTAGGATAATACTCAGTTTTTTGCACTCTTTGCAATGATAGCAATCTTACGTGTTAGACTTTTAGAAATTTTTTTTCGGCCGTTTGATATGAAATCGACGTATACGTATCTCACTCGATGTGATTCGAAGCGCCACCATCAATCGAGTTTTGGTTCTAGATTCGATTTAACAACTTGTCTGCACTCAGTTTTTTATGCTGAATCTGAAAAAAAGAATGGAGTAGAAAATTTCGTACATTTTGGAAAAGATGTGTTTTTTCTTTGAAGAAAACGATACCTTTCGACTATTCCGTATTTTTCAACCGGAAAGAAGCATTCACTAAAACTAAAGAGTAGATTTTCATGATTAGCAGCTCAAGCTCTATCAGATGACGTAAGAAAAGTTGAAAAAAACATGTTTACTTGAATTTCGCGTTGCGGACATCTTACAAATACGTATTTCATTGACTTGAGACCTAAACACTCTTAAAACCTCTACTGTACGTCATCTTATATATAATTGCGTATACCTATGTTTCGCAGTATTTTATATGGAAGCTGAATCACTTTTACATGTTAAAGGAACATTCATCAGTACTTGTAAAATGATGACAAATTGGTTTCAAAAATATTATTCGATGTCTTGTATGTATAACTACAGTATCTTTATTCGGTGACACAATGATCATAGTTGATTGCTTTGCAAAGCAACGCTCTGGTCACTTATGACGCATAAGACTTGAATTGGACGTTAATTGAAATGATTTTCGAAGTCTTTTAAAACTTCGAAAGATGAGTTAAGAAAACCTCATTTCGAAAGAAAATATTACTGTTTGTTCAGTTTCTTTCACGGAGATCGGTGACCAATCCTACTTTCTTCTGAAAAATTGGTTGGCAGTTCTTTTCAAACGAGTGAAAACCTAAAGATCAGTTCTGATTTGCAGACTTGATATGGAACTATGACAGATTTAGCACTGATCATTCCATACTCTCCTCTTTCAAAAAAAATTCCAGAAGTTCTATAAAGAGCATTTTGGTTCTTTGGCTATGGTAGATGAGAGTTTTGCCCACTTTTTAGATAAATAATCACTTGATATTATGAATACGCATCAAATTTACCGTCGATTATTCATCTGCGTCACTCTAACTGTATTTTTCATTGTCTTCATGCTACTATGGAATATAATTTTCAAGCGCAGTTCACCGGTTATAAAATTGGCTAAAAAATTTTCTTGTATCAAAGTAGCTAACAAAACTTTAAGTCTTAATCCTAATGTTTTCAACCGTCCACTCGATTCCTTAGTTGTAAACAAAAAAAAAATTTTTGAAGAATGTCGAAGTTTTAGCCAAACGTCTCGACTGTTGGGTCCTTTATTAAGAAATTCTAGTAATGGCCAACTCTATTTTCCAATACCTGCTGCAAGTTTACAAGACGTCCATCTGATTATGCGTTATTCACCTCGTGCCGAAGAAGAGGGAGGACTAAAACTATCAGTAGCTACTTCATATTTGATATCGAAAAATTTGCAACGTTTATCGCAGCAGCAGAGAAACAGGACTCACGTTACCGTGTTTCTAAGTGAACAATTTGACGCATCCACTTACTCACGGTTGGATGCCTGGTTTCGTTACATATATGAACCTTACACAAAGTCTACGACGATTATGTGCGCGCCAGCTGGTAATCAAAGGAGTTGGGAATTCTCAATGAATTATGTACGACGACATTCATTGATTGAACTCGACACAATTATCTTTCAACTGGAAAATGATTATGTCTGTGAGCCTGATATGTTAGAAGATACCATTGAGTTTTTCGCTAGTCACAACCCCTGCTTCGTCCACCCGTCGGATTACCCTGATCGATACACGATGCGGATCAATGATGATGACAAGCATATTACAGTCGTTGCAGGACGTACAAGAATTTGGCGCTCCATCACTTCGTCAACAGTGAGCTATGCGAGCCGATTGCGAACACTTCTTGCCTTTGCTGATGTGCTATTTCAGCCCAATAATGACTGGTCCAATAGCAAACTGATTCGAAATCTAGGAGACGATGCTACAATATTTTCGGCTATTCCTTCTCATTGCGCTCACCTTGAAGCGACCTTTCGCAATGATGGTAAATTAGAAAGTATAGCATGGGCCCCATTTTACAAAGATTGGTGGACGATGGGACGGCAAGCACTTCTCGATGCACAAACCTATGAATCCTATCCTATCATATAGATCTGAACTATATTTTCGTAAGAAAGGAGAAGCGTTCCTTCGTATAAAAGATCTTAGTGTTCTTAATTGTATTTCTCTCAATAGTTTCTATTGACGCACTTAAGGTATTTAAAAATTACTGAGGGTGTGATTTTGGTGAACGAACAGCGCACAGCTAGACGTGCATGTCACAGTCATGCATACTAAAAAATGAATATCATCACAGATCACTCTTACAGCTAGTTCAAGAGAAGAAATGCAAACCTATCGATGGTTAAAACTAAAATCATTTACTCTCATGCATTTCTTGAGTAATTGCCATTTTATTTATTCCTTGAAATCGAAAACATATTACTCAATAGAACGGCTTTTACTGTAGCATGTTTGATGGCAATATTGTCGCTTATGGATAATTGTCTTGCATCGTAGTGATCGCTTGTTTTTTCTCAACTTTTCTTTTGTACACCGACTGATGAACGCATTGTCCCTCATTAATCATTCAGTGGTCGAACTTGCTTCTCCGGATCGTTCGATACTCGATTTATCCGTTGCACGTGCACTGATTGACGTCTTGTCTGAAGCTGTTAGTTTGACAATCACACTGTCTCCTCATGATGGTTCCTTGTTAGGCTGATACTGCGTACTTGAACAGATGCATAGCTCATTCTCGTCGCCTGAGTAGTAGCTTGCTTTTGTTGTTACAATAAAAGTTTTATTAGAATAGAGTTCGATAGATTCCAGTAAATACATACTACCAATAGTTGTCTGTTCAGACGAACCACTGTTAATTTGCGTGCGATCGATGCTATTAGAATGAATTGCAACCGCGTACCTCTTTCACAGCGAATGGTGGACAGATTATGATGAAGTTTCATTTGTCTTAGATGAAAGAAAAATAATTATACCAGAAGCTTTTTGTTTAACATAATGTTTCATATAAAAACATCGTCATGGGTTTGAAAATTAATTACAATTGTATCACAATATGATAATGAAAGGAACTTTTACAAGTGATCTTCAATTATATAAGCGCTGACATGCGATCTCGCAATAGAGAACGAATGTTTGATTTTGTCATGAATTCGTCCAAAAGAAATGGAAGAGGTTCTGTTACTGTGTTTTTTGAAAATCAAATGAAAAGTAAATCACAATTCAGTGATAGATTTTGGTAGAGAAATTATACAGTTGATTGATAGATATTGTCATGGACTTATTATAGAGCGATACTTGTTTGGTTGTTCATAACATAGGTGACGATGGAAAGTATGAGCAAGCGTAATTGTGAGAAAAAAAACAAAGCAAAATTCATGAAGCCAACTATGAAATATTGTCAGATCTGTAATATGTTGTTGCGTATAAGAAGGTTGTTGGTGAAGTTAAAAATAGATGTCCTTCATATAAAACAGCAGGTATTTATAGTAGATGTTAATCAAAGGATGGAATACATCCAGAGGCAACATAATATTCTTGTATTTCGTAATAAACTAAACAAATATATATCGATCTCTTTTTGTTCAGCATAAAAATATTTTTTTTTCTTGTTTAAAAATAAAATTTTATCTTAATCAATATAAAAAAAAAAGAGAAAAAAAATATATAAAGTTCACAATTTTTTTAATCGACTCAATTGTTCAATATCATTAAACATTGATGATATAGATGAATAATACGAAAGCAAATCATCAAGTAATGTTCGATAATTTTCATCAATCATTGATAAAGCTATATCAATTTGAGGAAGTTTTGTTAATTCAACAAGAATATGAAAACAAAATTTTATATAAGAAAATGGTAATATTATTGATTTATGTTCTTGTTGATAATATTGTTCAGCTTGAATCATTATTCGGCTAATATTAATAATTGTTTCAATTAATTTTGTTGTTGCATAATCAAATGATTGAAGAGAATTCTTTTCTGGTAAATGAAGAATAAATGAACATTGATCATTAATGTTATTCGAATTTAATGATGAATTTGAATATATTTTATCTAAACGTATTTGTTCAAGTTCATCATATGAAAGATTATTTTCATTGATTAATTTCGACGTTATTGGATTCGTTCGAATTCGTCTTTTTTCTCGTGGAATTTGTTGATGTCGACATGTATAATATTCTGCAAGAACAATTTGATTATGTGGTTGTAATTTTATACATTCTTTTAATGTTAATTCATGTAAACGATAATCACGAGACATTCTATATGCTGATGCTTTACGATATAAAGCACGAAAATTATTTTTATCTTCTTTTAATACTATATCACAATCATCAATTGCTTTTTGTGGCTAAAAGATAAATATTTTTCTTGTTTTTTTTTTCTAGTTCAATATAAATATTTGTTTAATATACCTCAAATACATTTAAATAGCATGCGGCTCGTTTTAAATAAGCATATGTGGTATTAGGTTGAAGTTCAATACAAAATGTATAACATCGAATAGCAAGAACAAAACAAGCATCAAGATATAATTGATCAGCATATGTTCGGTACCATTCATACGAATTATTTTCTGAATATTCATTTTTCATTTTGAGATAAGTTAAATAACGTTCATCATCATTTTTATCATTTAATAATTTTTCCCGCCATGTTTTATCTTCACTAGAATTTAATTCTATCTCTAATCTAAATAAATAAATAAATAAATATATTAATGGGTTCTGTACCATTTAAATCTCGACATGATAAATTAATTAAAAGCTTAAATAATAAACAACGTCAAATTATATATGAAAAATGGAAATATGAAATTGAAAATTATGATATTATACAATGTAGTATTACATTTGATAATATCAATGAAGAAAATACTTCGATTGGATTTAATACTAATTCAAGTGTAAACAAAATTACAATGATGGAATAAAGAAAAATTTTCACTTTACAAATATAAATACTGATATAATGGGATATGGTTCAAAACCAATAAAGTCTTCATTTGTAAGCATTCTTAGACTGAAATCGAATATAAAGTAAATTACAGAAGAGATCTATTGAACTCAAAACGATCTGGAACTAGTTCATTTAATGATTATAAAAAAATTAATATTATTTCTATCGATTGAGCTTCATAGAATACGATACATAGCAAGCTATCTTATGCTGTCTATACCGAATTAGTTTTAACGGTAAGTCGCAATTAACCATTTACAATGACTGGTAAATCGCACATAGAAACAGAATCCATTGTCGTCAATTTTTCTTCAAAATCAACAGTTTGAATAATTTACTTCCGTTTTAACCAAGTTTTTTTTATAATTTGTCTATTAAATTAATATTCTTGGTCTTGAAGAGATCAATTTCAACTCAAAAACGTCAATACTTCATGGAATAAACTAACTTTTCTTAGATTTCTCAACTTGAAAATATTTCTTTCTAATCATTCAGACATACAACAAAGATTGAAACTCACTTTTCACATGCTCGTCGTGTTAAATGATAACTAAAATTATTAGTTGGTACACGTACATAATCAGCATAACTGAAGAGAAAACTAAAATTTCAAAAAAACAAAAAAATTAATAGAATGTCTTTTTTTAATATTTTACAAAACTTAACCATTTTTCGTTTTCAAGTGCTTTTGCACGACAAATCAATATATCAGCATCATTTTTATTATATTGTAAAGCTTCGGTAGCGTATTGAATAGTATGTACATAATCATGAAGTTTCAAATAACATTGAGCACAAATGGTCAATATATTAACAATACATTCCGTATGATAATGATAATCTAAAATGATTGATTAAAAATAAATGAATTAATCTATAAATAAATTTTTACCAAGAAGACCATTGTGAAGCATCTTTTTCGATACTTCAATAGCATTTTTATACTCATTTGATACATTAAATTTTTCAATATCACCTAAAATTTTATTAAGTGACCATGGCGTAGGAGATTTTGACCATGGTCGATCATAAAATGATGAAAAACGATAACTTGTTTGTGATGTAATAAAATCATGTAACCAACTTTGTATAGTAGAACCAAAATTTGAATTTGAAATAGCCTCACTAACCGTTGTACTTCGCATATTTGTGTCACTATAATTTGTCCACGAAGTTGAATAACTCTATTTAATAAAAGATATACAACAGATTTTTGAACAAAAAGTTTATGTTTATAATATGCTCTGAATTCATCTTGAACAGTCGTTTTGTTTGAGAAGTATATTAATCAAAAGAGTTAATGAATAATTTGAATAGTGAAGAGCGTCTATCACGGTCTAGGGGAAGGGACGGGGGAACAAAGATGTAACAGACTTGAATAAGTCAGACTAGACCGAACCAGTCGGTCTGAAGTCTATACCAATATTGGACTGACGAGTTGTCGTACTATTTCATCTGTGGATAGTGATATTCGAAATAGTCAATTTTCAACAAAGTTGCATTACAGATTCTCTACGAGATACTAAGAGCAAAAAAAATTATTAAGACATATTGGTAGTGACTGCTCCGCCGGCAGGACTGATCGATTCCATCTTTGGAAAGATCCAAATTGTTACCTGTATGCTTTAACACTGACTTTAGTTCGTATCTCACAAGATTTAGTGATAATAATTCTTATTTCAAACTCTAAGAAATGTGGTGACTATAATGACAATATTTGAAATATGTATTTCAATCTTTCTTAAAAATGTACTAAACCCAGAGCCTGAAACGAACCCGAGTTTCCGAGTTCGGGTTCAGTTCAAATCGTATCTAATCAAAAAACCATATAATTATGCTGAGCGAGTGCAATAGAACTGTAATTTCTAGTGAACCTACTGCCTATTAGATGATGTTTTTTACTCTGAAAGAATAAGAACACTTGCACACTAATTTATGGCATTTTTTCTCCAACTTTATTCCTAGATAGTTCGTTGACGGCTATTCATCACATTGAATAGCAATGACAAAGAAAGAAAAGAATAGTCCGCTATGTATTAGCTTGTGACCGATTGACCGATCGTCACAATAAACAACGAATCCTATTGATAATAAGGCAAAATAACAATCCCATTATGCTAAGAATTACTATGCTGTATAGCACAATGAATAAAAACTCGTTACAGTCCTCGCCACCTCAATGCACCCTAAGCAAAATATATTGTACGATGGGACCGATTATTTTTATTTAGGTTTCGCTCGACTGACAGGAAAGTTGAAAATCAGTTCGGATTTGGTTCGTTTTTGGACTCTGACTGAAACTTAAATTTTCTTTGTTAAGATCATTTTATGTGATCGTACGAACAGCTACAAGTGATTTATCTTTATGGGTAAATCTATTTATATATTGATGGGGTTTTCTTTTTTTTTTTTGGAAGGTTTAAGAGGGTAAAAGTTAAAACTCTGTATCTGTTGAAATATAATTTACATTCAAGAAAAAAAGAAAAGCTCAAAAGAACCTGTAAACCTATTTGAATCATTTATTATTCATATTCTATTTAGAAACGATGACATATTCTTAAGATAATAATGTTGAGTTTTGTTCTTTACTCTATCAATTGGTCAGTTTGATTTTTTGTGAAATACATAAACAAAGATACAAAAATTTAGAAAGTACAGAAGACAATGTAAATGACTTTTCTATTCACACAGAATATGCACAAAGAGAAAAACTTTTTTTTATTTTTGTTTGAATACTAACTGTATTTTGTTTATATGATGGAGAATTCTTTGATATTGTTGGTAAATTATGATTAGTTGGTTTATCATATAAGTCATCATAATCATCACTTATTTGATGACGATACGCAGTTGAAATATTATTTCGTTTATTATTATTATCATCATACATTCCAAAAGCAATACTTTGATCAATTAGATTATTTTTCATATTTTGTCTTACTGATGTTGTTTCTACTGGTCTTTGAACGTTTGATTCTGGTGTATCAGAATCATTATCATTAGTTGGTGAAACATTTGCACTACGTGCAATATGTCCTTCTTCATCACTTAGATTTCCTGTTAAATCAGTACCAGCTTCGTCACCTAATGCCATACCATCATCATCATCACCATCATCATCATTTAATGATGACAGTTGAAATTGATTTACATTTTGATGATCAAACGTCGATGGAGAAATATTTTCAGAATTGAGATCAGAATGAATATCCATAGTCATAGAATGAGTCATGTTATTATTTACTTGTTGTTGTTGTTGTTCTTCTTCTTCTTCAATGTCCAACGATGGAGTCTTTAAAGATGTAGTCTAATAAAATCTTTGTAAAAAAAACTATGATCAATAGAAAGAAAAATAACTTACAGTTGGTAATTGAGTTTTAATGTTGTCATTATCACCGGCAGTTGAATTACTATTCTTATTTTGAACAGTTAGAACTGTATTCAATAGATTCTAAAATATAAAACAAAAGAAACACTATCTAATTAATTCAATCGAACTTTTTCTCAAATTTTTATAAACCAAAATCAAATGATTGTTTAAAATGTTCTTTTGACTGGAACCAAAAAGAACTTAGTTCCTCATATTTCTAGTATTGACAGCAAAATCATCTAATTCCAATCTAACACACTAACAAAAGAAGTCTTCCCAACGAACTAATCGTTGCTAAGTTGGAACTATATATATCATGTAGACCCAAATGAATTATGAATATCTTGAAAAGAGTTCGAACTCTTTAGTTGATTGCAACGAAGATACCGTTAAATGATTGCTATGGTTTCCCTTAAGAACATCGAAAAAACTTATTTTTGAATTTCAATTTGAAACTTTGCATAGACAAAGACTTTAATGAGTATAGTTTATTTTGAGAATTTCAAATCTTTTCGTTTTTCCTAGCCTAAAATACGGCTATGATTAAAGTGTGTCTTTTATATCATTCATATTCATCTGCAGCTCTCTATGTTCTTATTTCAAGATAGAAGCAAATAAAAAGATTTCAATTCAAAATTCGACAGTCAGTTGTCCTGGCGGCCCTGAAGAATGCCACGATATTTATTTAAAAACTACCGTAAAAATGCAGTAATCAGTGAAAAGTCGGAGCACTCATTAGCATATTTATAGTTCATTAGAATCTACATGATGCATATAGTCCCGACTGAAAAGCAATTACTCAGTTATGAGACTTCGCTCGTTAGAATGAAAAAAATTCTTCTATGCTGTGTTACTACATATCGAAACAAATGTTATTCTTTCATCGAACTCGTTTAAAATTAGGCAAAAAAAAAAATTTTTACTTGTGCTTCCTCATTATCAGGATCAATTATAAGAATATTATTAAGATCATTTTTTGCTTCATCATATTGTTCTTTAGCATAATAACATGAAGCTCGATGAAATAAAGCTAAAAAAAAGAACAAATATATTAATAAGATTCTCAATTATTTGATTTAAATTAACCTTGAATATCTTTTGAATTAATCAATAATACTTGAGAACAATCTTGAATAGATGCATCGAAATTTTCTATTTTAAAATCTAAATCAACAAAAATAAAAGAATAGAATAAAAAAAAAATAATTTAGACATACATGCTATTGCTCGTTTCATATATGTAATTGAATTATTATCAAGAATAATACTTTTTGTATATAAATCAATTGATTGTTGATAATTATTTAATTTAAATGCTGTATCTCCATTAAGACGATGTTGTTCAGCCGTATGACGACGTTTGTTATCTTCATAAGATTCATTTTCTACTTGATAAGAAAATAAATAAAATAAAATTTTTAAATAAAGAATACAAAATTTACTTGAAAGTTCATTATCATGATTGTCTTCACAATCACTATGAAATTCCGAAGCAACTTGCTGGTTAAATCTATAATAGTCAATAACAAAAAAAAAAAGTATTATTTTTCTAGGGATTCATATACATTTACTTTTCCCATTCTTCATTACTTGCTGGTACTATTTGTTTAAAATTATTGTTTATTATAGGTTCTGAAATAGTAGAATTGCTCTAGTAAAAAAGAAAAAAAACAATAGATAATTTTTGATTTCTATTTGAATTTTGTTATTATGAATCAATACACACATCATTGACATTTGAAGAATTAGATATTGAATTAATAACAATAGTTTGTTGTGATTCATTATTCGATAAATTTGATTTATTGTTTGAAATTTGATCTTGTCGAGATATTTGACTAGAAAATTATCAAATGAAAAAAAAGAATTTCCTATTGTTTTCTTTTAATACTATAACTACTTATTTGATTGAATATTTCGAATTCGATCAAGTGTTAATTGTTCCAAAATTTTATGTGATCCTACTTCTCCACTTCTATTAAATAAGTTTAACATTCAAAGTAGAAAAAAAAAAACAATAACAAATAATCATTTATTTATTTTTTTTACATTAATTCTTTGTATATTCGTTCAAGTTCGATACTATCTGTACATTGTTGTATATATGTATGTTCTAAATGATTCAATGGTATATGATATTTTTTTGTATGACCTGTAAGTACACTTGTAGCATCATTCATCTAGAAAACTATTCGATTTGTTTATTCTAGTACCTTAATACTTCTTTTCTCTTTTATCGTGCTGTTAAGGTTAAGGGCATTTCTTTCGTTATCTATACATCAGCACCTCGATGAATAAACGAATATGTTTGATATATTTCTCTACTCTTTCAGTATTTCTAATTAGAAACAGATAGATCTAGAAAGATCGATATATTAGTAATATATATCTCATTTATCTTTATTAAGACGACATACTGTAATATTGATATTTATTGGACCGACAAAAAAACAAGGAAAGAATGTCATCGAGAAACACAGTTTTCATATGAGATAAGAGATATTGAGAATGTATAAATAGCAGAAGAAACTAATAGATTTACTTGCCAGTTGGACTAATATCTACATACAAATATATTAAAGAAATATTTCTAAAACAAACATGCTGCTTAATAAATTAATGTTTTTTCTTTTATTCATACTGATTTTAAATACTGTTACAGCTCGATTACAACATCCATTTAGACAATGTTCACGTATGTATTTATTTTTGATTATAAATTCTATTTTCATTATCGATATTATAGCAAGAAGTACTGGTGAAATTCTCAAAGCTTCCGTCAATGCTCCATGTGGTAATGAGTATTGCACATTTTATAAAGGTGCTGATGCTCGTCTTGAATTTTCATTTAAATTACGTAAGATAAATTAATAAAAATTAAAAAAAAAAAAAAAAAAAAAAATTTTTTTTTTCTTCTTCGTTATAGGAAAAAAAGCTCATAAAATACGAGCTAAAGTAATGGCAACAATTGGTACAGTTGATCATGATTTTGCTTTACCAAATCATGATGTTTGTCAACAACTTGGTTGTCCACTTCAAGCTGATGTACCTTATTCATATCAGAATAGCATGTTTGTTAGTCCAACATATCCATCTGTATGTTAGACGAACTTTTTTTTTTTTAACAATCTTCTATTAACATTAATTCAATATAAACTTTTGTTTTTTTATTGTCTGTATAGGTTAAAGTCAATCAAATGCGATACTATTTAATCGATGGTAAAGGACGTGAGCTTGCCTGTGTCTCATTACCCGTGATGATTACTGAAAAAGACTCGAAACAATAAGTGGTAGCGATCGCCTCCTACATTTCTTTGTTAAGAAAAAAAACACATTTTTTTTGTCAAGCATACATATATATATATATATATGTCTCGTTTTGAATTTTTTCATTTCTCTTCTTTTCTTTGTCAATAATACTTTTTTTAAATTGAGTACAACATAATAAAAGAATATGAAAAAAAAGCCATTCAATTCCATTAGAAAATAAGAGAGAAGGTAAAACATAGTCGACTAAACAACAACAATGCCGTTATATATGGAACATATACTTGCTACAGATCCTAATCGACCCGCAGGTATGAATATTTATCTATTAATTGATATTTTTATCTAATTTATAAGATTCGGCAACTGAATATCGTACACGTTATATGTCACCACGTCGAGAAGACTATACTCCACATATAGTTTTACCAAAAATTAATACAAATCGACCACCATCACGTAGTCGTTCATTTCTTTCATATGATGTTGATCCAAATTCAACATCATCATCATCTGAATATCGTCTACGTTTTCCTAATCATCATCCAAAACGACCATATGTTTTTCATGCTCAACCAAGTCATGTTTTTGATTTTGTTCCTATGCCAGTTAATTCAAAAATTTCACCTCGAGGAGTAGATCCATCTCCAGCATTTACAAAAGATACTGAATATCATGAACGTTTTCCAAATTATCGTTCATATGTACCAATTCAAGATTTAGTTCCACCACATTTACCTTCTCAACCAAATATGCCATCAGCCACACAAATAAAAAAAGATCGTATGACACGTAGTCAATATTTTCATGAACTTATTACAGATAGTGATAAATTTAATGGTGGACAACGATATATTGGTAATAGTGAACAGCGTACTGCTTTTCAATGGCCTAATCATCAACAACAACAAGAACAGTCAACAGCATCTTATTCAACAATGAATATGTATTATCCAATACCACCAATTTATCGACAAGTACTCAATGCTTCGAATTAAATTCATTCGCAAAAAAAAATTTAAAGAAACAAAAGAGTTGAGTTTAACATTTTAATTTAATAAAGAATATCATTTTTTTTTATACTAAATACGTTCAGCTAAATAGATACCCAAACGACAGCCCATTTTAATAACACTGGTTAAATTTTGATAGAAAGGTGCCTTAACAAAATATAAATAAATAAAATAAACACAAAAGAAAAAAAAATCGATTATTTACTTGTTCAGCTTTATTAGCTAAACCTATATCATGATGTTGACTTTCGTCATCACGAAATTTTTTAATTGTCTTTAAAATAAAATATTCAAATCCATTGACAATATATATATTTTTATTTCTATGTCTTACATCTATTAATTCTTTATCTTTATTATGATCTGCATGTTCCATTAAATCACGTAATTGACTATAAATTGAAAATTTTAAAACAAAAACAAAAAATTCACATACTCGAAATTTTCTCACTTATTATAATGTTCGCTAATAACAGCTTCTACAGCTACTGTACATGCCATAGCTGCTTCTTTACCAAGTAAAGCTGTTCCAGCACCTTAAAAAAAGAATATTTTATTAATTTTACCATATAACAAAGATTATATTTTACCTAAGGCATAACCAGCTATATTCCACAATGGTAATAATGCTGATGGTCGAGCTTTATATTTTGGTATTAATTCATTAAATTTTGCTAAATGTGCTTTTTCTTCATCCCACATATGCTATTCATATAGAAGTTAATACATATATTTTTTTTTGTTTTTGATTATTTAATAACTAATATACTTGAATTGTTGGTCCAACATCTGTACGACCTAAAACTGCCATTTGACCAGCATAAATTCTATCAGCAGCTAATTCTCCAGCATGATCAACACGTATAATTTTATCAAGAAGTTCTCGAGTTTTTTGTTCTGGTTTATCTTCAAATGAAGTTAATGATGATAAAAATCGATTAGATTCTAGTCGAGATATTCCTCTCAATAGTAAACGTGACATGATCATTATCTATAAAGTCAATATAAATTTAATAATTTATAAAAAAATACAAATAAGGAAGGTAAACATGGTAAGATGGTATTAAAAAAAACAAACAAAATGCAAAAACAAAAAAAGAAAAGAAAAACCAAAACTTAGAAGTTTGCGAATTCTCTTGCAAGAATAATAATTGTGTGAAGCGATATAGGAAAAACAAATTTAGCTATAATATCAGGAATTTCTTCTGTTACGATTTTAAACTTTAAAAAGAAATACATTAATCTCATTCGATAGGTTTTAATACAACATTAGCATTACTCCATTCAATTAAAGCAAATGGTGGTTCATTTTTTAGATCTTTCGTTTCACCATATGGACATGTTATCAAATGTTGATTTAATGATGTTAATTTATTTGGAGTTTTTAATTGCCATTTTGGAACTGCAGATGATGTATTTGTAAATAACCAATGCTAAAATATTTTTTTTCACATGAATTTCTTTTAAAAGAAAAAAAAATGTATATCGAATGGTCCATTAATAATCAACCTCTCCGTACTTTAAACGATAGCTTCATGTAAAAATTCACGACACAATAAATGGACAAAAAAAAACACAAGTTTACATTTATTTTGGGATTTGCTTTGTTTTTCGTGAATTGCAGTTTGCCACTTACGTAGTCTTGTGGAGAATGATGGTATCCAAATAGAGACTTTTCAGCTCAAAAAAAATCCAGTGTTTAAAAAATTATCATGAAGAATATTTTCAACTTCCCAGTAAAACTTGGATATCTGGAAGTGGATCATCCCAATAGAGAACCTTTTTTTTAATATAAAATTCTTTACTTTCGAGATCTATCTCCATAGTCTTGCAAAGCATGAGTAGTGACGCATCGCAGTTAGAACATAGAAATTTATCGTGTAAAAGTAAAATGTTCTTTTTAAAAAGGCAGCTCTTAGTTTTGTAAAGCTTAAAATTTTCTATTTTTTGATATATGAATGAATATCTTTTATGAATTTGAATGAACATTATGGTCCATCCATTAGAATTACGATAAAATTTTGCTGTTGAAACTAGTTCAGCAGTTATTTCTCATCAAAGTGAAAACGACGCTATTTTAATTTTGTTAGACGAATTTTTCTTAAGAGCTTTAAAAAATACAGATTTAAATAATTGAATTTTCGAGCATTCAAGGAAAAGAAAATCGAAACAACTCTCAACGATTGATTTAGTTATAATACTGTTTGATAGAGCTTTTCAAATGTTACAAAATGCATTTAGTTTTTCCCAGGACGATCATTTCGACCATTGAAAACAGCATCTTAAATGGCCAAAAACATCGTTTTACTGCATTAGTTTTCGCCATAATCTGTCAAACCGTTTCTTCGCTAGTAAGCGATCATCGTTTCTTCTACTATTTTCACTGTTTTATGAGCTTAATGAAAACGGTGACATAAAGACATCAGTTTTATATTGTTTACAGCACCGTTTTCAACTGATAAATCGATCATTTTACTGAAATTTTAACATCTGGCTTGGTATATGCCAACAAATGGAATGGCGATATTTCGAGTTGAAAGTTTCAGGACATCCCTCTGACAAACAGACTTGTCTGTGGAGAAAATCTCAGATTGAAATACTGTCATTCGATATGTTGTTATTTACCAAGACAAAGGCTAAAAGTATAATTTTAAGGTTTTTTTAAACATATAACTGGAGTCAATAAAATATTAGGATAGTTGATTCACGTTTATACGTGTTCAATATTCTACGTTTGACTTTTGCTATCTCTTAATTTTCTAAATAAATCCATTTGATAGATGATTTTAAAACAAATGTTCAGAAAAAACAATCAAGTTTAAAAGTAGAAAAGGAATTAATTTTATTATCAAACTATAGAGAGATTTATTATTCATGAACCATTCAATAAATAAATATATAATTACTTTTTGTCGTTCAATCCAAGTTATATCTCCATGTGAAAGTACATTACGTTCATGTTCAGTAACTACAATTCCTCGTGAAGGTAATAAATTTTGACATAAAGCACGTAAACGCTAAATTTTCAACATAATTAGATATTTCTTTGATAAAAATACAAAAGAAAAACAAAAATATCATTCTTACATGACAAACAAGTGAAATATTTCTTAATGATAAACTATCCAATTTTAGAAGAATATTCGTAAGTATTTCTGATGGTAAACTAAGTAAATCTAATTTTTCATTATAATCTTCAATTATTGTTGGATACCAATCAAAAGCAATAGCATCATTTATTTGATCAAAACGTATACGAATTGATTGTCCATTTATTTGACATGGTTCAAGACGTTCATATTGAAATTTACAACCATATTGAGATTTTGGACATTGTTGAATAAGTGAAGAATTAAGAATACAATCAATACGAAAATGTATATGCCAATGTTGTTCAATTTCATCTCGACGACATAAAGCATGACAATAAAATCGAGGTTTTTTATTAAATGATGTTAAATTTTTTAAATATTTATTTGAAGAAAAATAATTTAATCGATAAATATATGATGATGGTAATTCCATATCAGATATAATAGGCATAAGATCATTTTGAGATAATTCTTTTGTTGAATTTTGAGTAACAGGAGTAGATGAAGGAGGTATTGATATATCACATGAATTAATTAAAGTTGAAGACATTTTGACTAGAGATGGTATTGTCATCGGATCAGAATATTTATCATAGTGTAAATTAAAATCAATCATCATGTTTCGTTCTTCTGAAATGATAAAATTTTCATTATAATGAGTTCTTATTTGTGAATATTAGTAAAATACGCTTTCTTTTTACACTGGCTCATTCCGAGTCAAAAGCTGAGACAAATAAATGTTCGGAACAATGACGTTTAATGAAGTTATGAGTAAATACTTGATAACTCTAATCAGTTCAAAATATGTAGCAGAGTTGTATTTAACTTCATTTTCCAAACATTTGTTTTGTTGAGACTTTCGCTTGCAGTCAACCATTCTAAAAAGTTTTAGCATTTTATCTTTGTGGTACTTTTCCCAACATGGGTCAGAGTGAGTTCCAATAAACTCAGAATTTCGAGCTCTACCGGCTGGTTTTAATCCCAAAACAATGCTCGAAGTGTATTTCACTTTGCCCTAATTTATTGTTCCAGAGGCGTAACTTAGCACTGAAGATGGCAACAGTGGTTGAGTCCTAGACGACGAAGCGCTGCGTCGACAACTTTCAAATGCCAATCTATCTTTCTCAATCGTCTTTCTAGCATATGCTATCAAGATGATCGAGAGAAAGAAAGAAAAGAGATCGCCATAACAAACCAAGACTCATTATTTAATTAATATTGATCTAAATTACCTTCGCTAAGTTCTGATAGACGTTGATCTTCATTTTCTTCTAATTGTCTAAGATGTTTTCGACATGCAGCACATATAACACCATCTCCTTTACTTAACATACATTCTGGCATTGTTATATAACGATATTTTTCACTACGAATAAGATGTTCAACTTGTTTATTTTTAGATTTATTATATTTTAAATTTGAATATAATTTTTCTTGTCGTTTTTCAAATTCAGTTACATGTTCATGCCATATATTATCACGATAAGCCATTATTTCAATAAAATTTTTATTCATAGAATTTTCTAAATTATTTAAATAATATTCATGATTATAAATAAATGAACAAACTGTTATAGATGCTGGACATATACGTAAATGTCGTGAAAGATCAAAACGTCGAATAATAGATGGACAACCATAATTAACATTTAAACATGGTATATAAGCATTTAAACAAATATTTTCATGATCATCACGTTTACATTCATGCATACGAGATAAACATCCATTAGGACAATAAATTAATGGACAAGAAGATGTATGAACACAATTAATTAGAAAACATTTATTACAATGTTCATGGGCCATCTGAAAGAAAAATTGATTTATAATAAACCTTTTATTATGGAAAGATTATATATAATATTTTTTTTTTGAGGTACATTAAAAGATTTCTATTGACGTAGAAAAAGTAGAAACATATATAAAATCACCAGTTATGTTAAACATTTTATAAAAAAAAAAAAAAAACTAACGCAAACCCCACATTAAAATAATTTCATAATTTTATTTTTTTCAAATAAAAATTGAAAGAAAATTGTATTCTCATCAAGACATATTTTTGTCCATAGAAGAATTTTGTTCAACAGAAGTATCATTATCCATGATTGTTTTTATTTGTTTTGAACGTCTATGAATTGCTTGATTTGAATCATTACTACCAATATCAGTACGTTTACTTATTTGTGATTGATCTGTTGTTGTTGCTGTTTGTAATCTTGTTTTTGTTCGATTTCCAGTTACTTGAGGAGGAACATATGGAATAAGTTTCGATATACTACCAATAGCTTTTGTACGTCCTTCACGAAAGATAATTTTCATACCAAGTCGAAGATATTCAGGTGATTTTAAAAAACGAAATAAAACATTTGCACGATCACCTGTTCGTAAATTTTCAACAGGCAATGAAATAATTGTTGCTGTTTGACGAATACTACCACAATGAACTGAAAAAATAGACCTTTATGCTTATTTTTAGAGATGAAAGGATCTTATTAGATAAGATGACTGCACGTCATTTGAAAAACCACCTGTACTATTTTGTAGAGCAATACGTAGGGCACATCGAATGTTTTTTTTTTCATCAAACTTTAATATTCTGAGAGAAGGCATATACCTATTAAAGGATATTATAGCAATTGTGAATGCTATGACCAAATATTAGAACTTAGTATGTCTTCAAATCAACTTGTATCAAGTGTAGGTATATTAGCATTTTTCTTAGCTTCAATAATTTTTGAATTTTATGATGTTTTGAACTCTTCTATACTGTCCCTGAAAACAAAGGCGACCAAACCGTACGGTTGTGTGACAACAAGTTCTATAAATCTACCAATTGATTGTTCTCTGAACTGATGTCTGTCATGGTCAAATTGGCTAATCAATGCCTAAAAAGAGGCCAACTTTTCGATTCTCTGGAGGAAAATACAGAAATGGACTATAGCAAAGGTGTCTTACGAGAATTAAAGATTTTGCATGTTCCTATAATCCCTCTCTCTAGGGAATCTGGAAGAGAAAAATTTTGTTGCCATTTTTTGAAAGATTCATATATGCTAAATGATGAGGCATGATGAATTTAATATACTTTTCTATCCTTAGGAATCAAAAAATTGACCTTTTTTAAGCATCAATTGACTGATTTGGCCATGATGTACATCAATTGGTAAACTTATAGAACTTGTTGGCATACAAAACTCTATTGAAGTAACTTTACACAAAATTTGATATAGATCGATTTGGAGATATACTGACGAGAAAGAGTTCTCAAGCGATAAATTGCTCTTGAACTGTTGGACCTTTAGTTACTGAGAGTTTGTAGCAAAAACTTCAGAATTTGTTGACCAGGTATCTTCAAGATATGAATCATTCAATATATTCATATTTTTTACAATAATTGTAGTGAGGCACTTATATCTCGGAGAAACTTAGTGAAAAAGTTCTGAAGTTTTTTGCTACAAATTCTCAGCAACAGAGGCTCAGCAGCTCGAATATAGTTTCAGTTTAAAAGCAATTTCCTATATATCATTTGATGCAGTACAAAACGATATAGGTGGCTTTTCAAATGAAGGGTAGTTATCTTATCCGACAGGGTTCTTCATTTACCCATTGCTTGATATTTGACACTGATTGTTGTTGGATGATGTAGAATAAGTAAATCAGCTTCAAATTCCCAATACGAAACAGGTGGAATGAGTGGAGATAAAAGGACCATACCTTTACGAAGTTCAGATTTTTTTATCTTTAAATAAATAAAATCATCTAATTATTTGAATAAACTTCTTCGTTTTCTTTTTTTTACTTTTCTCAAAGCAAATGATGATGTTTGACCACCTCGACATTCTTTAACTGGCATTCGTTTACGATGAATACCTAACAATAATAATAATAAGTATATTCAAGTATATCATTTCTCTACTAATATACTTCGAATTTGTACTGTTTTAAATTGTCCTAATGGATCAGGTCCTAATTGTAAATTATCACCTATTTTAATAATACCTTTTAATGTTGTACCACTAACAACTGTTCCTACACCAGGTACAACATATAAATCATCTATTTGAAATTCAGCTGGTTCATCAAGACATGTTTCCATTCGTGTTGATAATAGATTAAGAAATTTTTTTAATAAATCTAAATTTTCACCTGTTACATTTGATACTTGAAATATAGGACATAAACGTTCAGAAGTAAAATTTGTTGCACATGTTATTACATCATCATTATTTTGTACTAATAATGGAATTTTTCGACAACCAGCTGAACGAAGAATTTTCTGTAGAAGTTTCATTGTTTCTTGTAAAACATTTACAGGAGCCATATCAATTTTAGTAACAACAACAAAAACAGGCACACCAAGAGCAAGTGCTAAACCCTTTTTGATAAAAAAAAATAAAAATAAGAAGATATTCTGTAGAAAATTTTAAGTTAAAATTTGAAAAGTAACTGATCATATGATAATTAATAAAGAAAATAGTATTCGATGAATAGAAGATAAATTCAAATAGCTTTCTAGAGAATTGTTTATTTTAATATGTATTTATAATAAGAAATACTTCCAATTTTTGTTTTTTTTTGCATTTACAAATTAGAAAAATATTCAAATATCTTACTAGATGTTCTTTAGTCATACCAATTACACCAGCATTAGCACCGACCTGAATAAAACAAAAAAAGAACAACTTGTATATAATGTCCTTCTTTCTTACCATTAACATTACGTAATCAGGAGCATATCCTGTCATACCAAACACAGTTGTTTTTAAATATTTTTCTATAAAATATATTAATCTTTATTATATAATGCAATAAATATTTTCTTACCATGTCCAGCTAAATCAATAAATGTTATTACCTGAAAATAAAAAAAAAACTAGGTTTTTGTTTCTCGGCTAATGGAAAAATCTTTTACTTTTGCTGAGTTCTGACAAATATTTGTCCAATCAAGTGATTGATTACCATGTGTATCTGGTCTATTTACAATAGCACCTTGAGCATCAAAACCAAGAATATCCTATTAATAAGTAAGAATAACTTTTCTTTATTCGAATTATTAAAACAAGTGATTGAAAAGTTTTTAAATAAAATGTTTGTTCATTTTTGACTCACTAGAAAACATTTTTACTATTGTGATTCGAAACTAAAAGTTAAGTTCTTTATTTGTAGATTAGAAGCTACCTTACTGTTTTATATTGAAAGGAGCTTTTGAAATAATGCTTAGATAAAAGCTACAACTAAGTTTCAATATCATATTTTGTAGAACAGTGTTCGTTATCTTCGATATTATTTTTAGTATGCTCGAAAAAAAGAACTTCTAGAGTAAATAAAAATATGTTGATTCACCATCAAAAATAATTTTTCTGATATTTCACAAAATTCCTCACTACTCATGAAAGATTATTTCATTACTCTTGAACAAAAACTAAGACAAAATTCGAAAATATTACAAAAAATCGAGACATATAAGAACTATCCTTAATTTCCTTTCATTTGTAGTTTACCTAATGCAGAAGTTCATGACGAACCATTTGATAGCAAAATGAAGCGATTTTTGAAATACTTACATCCATTTTTGCTCAAACTGAGTCGACTTATATCTATTTCAAAGTTCATCGAAAAATTTTGAAACACATATAAATCGATTCAATTTTTTATGTTGGATTCAAAATTTCTTATTCGTTTTCATCAAAATGGATCTACATTAGTAAAACTATGAATAGAAGAAAACTGAAGATGATCCTTATGCGCTTCAGTCCATTCTGGTCGTAAATCATAGGTTTTGACTCGTTGGAAATACATTCTAATGAACAAATATCTTGTCTAAAAACTTTTTGATTACTCATTATAATAAACATACACATCCAACAGATGATGTTCTTCCAGTTTCAATTTCATGTTTATGTCGAAATAATTTTTGTCGTGCATTACCACGACCATCATCCAATAAACCATGAGTTAATACACCAAGTAATGTCGATTTACCAGCATCTACATTACCTGTAACAGCCACTCTTAAATAATCGAATATTTATCATAATAGAGAACACACACACACAAGCACAAAAAAATCTATTGTTTTATTTTTACCTCACTTCCATAAAATCTTCTTGATCAATATGTCTTCGAATAAGATATTCATTAATAAAACGTGTATTATTTAAAAATGATTTTTCTCTTAATAATTGAATTTCCGAATCAAGTATAGCTTGTATACTTTTAAGTGTAGCAAATGATGCTTCCATTTCATCATGTAATAAACCAGGTGATTCACCATCAGTAACTATAAAAATTAAATAAATATATTAAATTGTTTGTTTTTAATAATTTACTTCCTTTTCCAATTTCAAGAATAGTTTCACCATGACCATCATCAAGACGTTTTTTAAGAAAATGACTAAGTGCATCAAATTGTTCTTCATTTGGACTTATCCATGCTGTCTTTTTTGATAAATATTGTCGAATAGCATCAGTTTGTTGTTCATCAATATCATTGGATGTTTTCGAAGTAGCTGTTTCAGCAAATATTTGTATGCCATCGGCAGTCGCCATTGTTAACAACTTATCTGAAGTAATCATTTATTCTTATATTACTATTTGTTCTTATTTTAAAAAAAGAAAAGTGTAACCTATGATTTTTAAAAGCCTGAAAAAAAATCAAGATGATAAATTTAATTAATAAAAAACCAAAAACATGATAATAATTGTATATCTCGAAGTTATTGAAATGATGTAAAGAAAAAGTATGAATAAGAAAAAAAATACGTATATACATATTATAAATATGCTACCAAAGAAAAAATATTGCACAATCATTGGAAAAACATATTTATTTACAAATTAAAATAACGATAAAATGCGTGATAATTTTCTCTTGAAAATTATTTTGTTTTTTTTTTGTTGATTTTGATATTGAAAAATAAAAAAAATTATAAGATTAGAAATAAATTTGATTAATATTTAGATATTATTGATAATTTTACTAAGAACAAGAAAGAAAGAAATAGGTAGCTTTCATCTTATTGGTCTTTATATAGCCATTAGTATTGTATTAGCGTCCCTACTGATCTCATACCAGTTTTTCGTATATATATATATATATGTATTTTATTTATTTGTATTTATTACAAAAATAAATATTATTTCTCTCTGTATCGATAGCAGCAAAGATATGAGTTTATACATTTTCTTTTTGACTAAAATAACTGTGATATAGTGACATTCGAAATTTGGATTTATTCATTCGCGTCGGAACATTATGATCAACATTTTTTATAAGATGCTCATCTCAAAGTTAACTACGAGTTTTTGAATGCTACTTAGATGAAATACAGTTAACATTTCACATTTTTCAACGTGTAACAGTAGTGAAGATCAAAAGAACAGTTCGTAGCAGTACATTTATGTTCATTGAAATGTGACTTTCTAATGAAGAGTTTAATGGTGACGCAGGGATGTTTCACCAAAAAAAAAATATTGCATTGTGAGTTTCTTCACTGCTTCATAGACATGTAATATTAGTCATTGAGGAAAAATTTTGGTAGATTCTAATTAATCTGGCTTACGAGAAAACCTTTCCAGGTATAAAACCACTTTTTGTTCTGGACAATGTTCATTTTGGTCAGTACTAGCGAGTAATAGAAAAGTCTAGAGAATGGCTTGGTTTTTCGGATCTACATTCTTGAGATATCGAAACTTTACTGGATTTCCCCTCTCGCCCAAATCACCTGGAAAATCGACTTTTGAGTTTCCAGATGACTTGAAGGGATGGAAAGATCCCTATTTCAATTCATTGGCAATGTATAATCTAACATTTACTGGTATAAAAATCAATGTTTCCTCAAAAACATTTTCTAAGTTTGTTTGATTAAGAATATGTTATTATTAAGTATTCGAGGCGGCGAAAAATATCAACGTTTGTAGAAAAAATGTGATGCACTGCTCAAACCTATCAATGTGATGGTAGGAGAAAAGTGTTGGAGCTTGCTCTAGCCTAGGAAACATGAATCTAGGGTAAGCTTTCACTTTCCCAACCCTTGTGGATTCACTGCCTAATGTTAGATTGATCTTTTTCTTTTTCGTGGTATCATTCCAACGTCATTGCACACAATATACATATATATATATAGTCTTGAATGAAAGTAGCCGCCTCCTATGAGGAACTACTATTTTTTGTGACATTGAGCTGATATTTCGAGTGCATGCATTTGACAATCAACCCGTCCTCTATCAGTTCATATGCACTGAAGTTACAATTCACACATTGTATTTCCCTTGTGAAAAACGACATATTCAGTGTGGCAGTCTATATATCTACTTTGTTATCATCAAAGCCTGTGACGCATAGTGAAGATCGTAGTAAATAGAATACCCTGAGATGGTGAGCTCATGCCGTAGCACTAACTCAATTTCATTCATTTCTGTGGCTCTGAAAATTTCAGAACAAACTTATCGTCTCACATGAGAACTTTCTATTGAAATTTTCAATGAGAAAAAGGAAGTGGACGAAAATATTTGTGCCAACATAGTTGAGATAAGATGATCACAGGAGGAATATGATGCCTGAATCATAACTCCAGTACATGTAAACCAATAGAGAGGAAGTTTATGCTGACGATCAGAGTTTATTATCGCATGCATGTACTCGAAATCATAAAGAATAGCAGTAGTTTCTGAGGAGCAGCTGCTTTTATCCAGAACCGTGTATCAGGGTGATCGTTTCTGTTTTCCTGACTTGTTATTTATCGGTGCTCACAAATTGAAGAAACACGATATTTCATATGTCCATTTTTTCTCTGATCAAATCACAAGATGTGACAAGAATATTGATAAAAAAATTGAAATAAATTGAATCACAACAAGATGAATAGTTGTATGAAAATATTCTAGTTGTTTCAATTATAAATTCATTCTAAAAAGTTTTAATCAAAAATGTTCATTGGAGCTAAACATCTGTCAGAGTCATGTCGTAGTACACAACTCGAAGTTAAATATGAATCAGGAAGAAACATTATGAATTTAATAATAAAGTTCAAGGTGTTGTTGCTTGTTAAAATAAAGAAGAAGAGAATAATTATGAAGTTATTGATCAAGAGTTGAATAAGATCTCAAAGGAACATGAACATGAACTATGATATGAGTATGAGGGTAGGGATGCCGGTACTGATGTGGGTTTTCTGTTCATCCATACCTAACATTTCGGAAACAGTGTAATTACATTTCATTTTTGCTCCGATGAAAAGAAGTTATATTAATATAATAGTTAGTGAAATTCTCAAATTAATGAAAATTATATATTTTTTCACACGTTTCGAGAATTACTACTATAGAAATACCAGCGGCGGATTTAGATAAGACGCTGTCGGTAATCGTCTCTCCCTTTCGAATTTTTTTTGTCGACTTTTCCCAGTAGAAAAAGTTCCAAAAATGATTAAGCAAATAAATTTATTCTTCATAATCTGTATCAATGAAACAAAACAAATAATTATTAAATAATGTCTTGATTATATAATCTTTTAAGCTCAACTTCTCTATCGAATAAAATAAATATTCGTTCATTCACTTTTTCATCACTAATAACATAACCTCTTTGCTATTTTACATTCTTTCGATAGATGTCTCTCGTTAAAACTCCTTGTTTTTTTTTTAGACGACGATAACATGAATAACTAAGCAACGTCAGGAAAGAAATGACATTAATAATGACGTACCATTCAAACTAAATCAAAGTAAGAAGAAAATATGGCTAATCTGCCAGCATGGCTTGTTGATAGTCGTGAAAATGTTTTAAAAACACAGGTTTCGTTTTATTTTTATTGAAAAAAAACAAGAAATTCATTTTGTTTTAATTACTTATTATTATAAGGAATGGCATAATTTAACAACAAATATTTATGATGCTGTTGATCAACATTTAGCACAAAGTCATGTACAATATTTCACGGATTTATCTGATGCAGAAAAAAGTCTTGTATTAGAACGAGCTGCTCGAAGTTTAAGAGGAACCACAAGTGGAGCACGTTAGTTTTCTTCTTAATTTTTTTCTTTTTCTTTTTTTAATAATAAATAATTTCTTATTTGATTTAGCAACTCCATATGATAATCTGAATAAACGAGTTTCAGATTTACTTGATAAAAGTGTTAATAATGATGTATCTCGATCATTATTAAAAGATGATCCATTAGAAACAAAAACTGATATTATTTTAAATAAAGTATGTGAAGGTATTGTTGGTCTTTTACGTAAATGGCCAGATCAAAAATATAAATTACATGCTTTTCTTAATCAACCATTACCACAACCAATACGTTTTGTTGGTTGGAATCTTTATTTATCCAATGCTAATCGTATGTTATACTAAAAAAAAAATTCAGTATTTTCTTATTACACTAGAGAAAATATGTGTCTAAATTTAAATGAATTTCAAAAAAGAAAATAATATATAAATTTGAAATTGAAAATTTTGAATTAGTTGAGAAAATTATTCAAATATAAAATGTACTTTTTAGACCGACAAAAATTTATTAATGATTTGGCAAATAATCCTCGAAGTATATTATCACCAATGGATGCAGAAATTCAACGGAATTGTGATAGTCTTGTAAAAACATTACCATTAGCACCTGATATGATGGATTCAAAAGGTAATTTCTCTTCTTATTCAAAAAAACAAAAAACAAGATTTTAAAATAAAAATAAAATTTCTTAGGAAATATGAGTGCAATGAAAGCAATTCTTTCTTATTTTCATTCGATGCTTTCAAATAAACGTGATTTAGCTGATTCGGAATATTATTATGCTATACCAATTGTACTGTCTCATAATCCACCCTTGTCAAGGTAAAAAAGCAAAAAAGAAGTCTATGAAATTTTTTAAAATTTGATCTGAAAAATAAATAGAAAACATATTTATTTATCATGAATAAGTTTTTGTCTCAATACACAATAGGATTTTTTTTCTCTTTTTTAATGAATAGATCGGAGAAACCTTATGAAAAATCACTTTCAATTTTAATTGAAATGTATCGAACATATTTGGATACAATGCCACCAGTCTTACGTGATATTTATTTAAATGTAATTTAAATTTATAGAAAAAAAAAATAGAAAAGTATATATTGACATTTTAATCTACAATAGAGTTCAACACATGAACTTGAACCATGGTTTCGTAAAGTTGAAATTCATTTAAAAGAAATTGATCGACCGATTTATAATCATATGCGATCAATACTTTATCCACCAGGTTTTTATTTCGAATTGTTTTTTTTCTTTTTTTTACATTTTACATAAATAATTTAAATTTTAAGATTCACCGATGTCAACAACTGATGATCCATATGTATTGATTTTTTTGAAAAAATGTTGTTATCCATGGTTTAAATATATGTTCGTTGGTAAATAGTATTTTGTTTTTTTTTTACATATTCAAAAAATAATAAAGAATAAGAGATTAACTATCGCATCGATTGTTTTTAGTCATAATGCTGAAAAATTGAATCGACAAAGAAAAAAAAAACATTTCTTAGTATTATAGAGAAATAACTCAGAATCCCACTCCAACAGTCAATTACTGTTTACCAGTGAAATCATCTAAGAATCCATTCCATAGAGTAGATCTACATTTTTCGAATGCCATTCTCATCCTCATATTGTGGCATGTCTAATGGAAACACATACCTAGAAATTGAGGCTTGTGAAAAGTGATTGAAAAAATCTGTAAAGTTAATAAATTGTTAATCAATATTTAGGTTGTCTTACAACGGATCCTTTATTATTTGTTTGGGATCAATATTTAATTACAAGTGATATACCAAAGTTTCATGATGAATTAATTCCAGCAATTGCTGCAGCAATGATTATAACATTAAGAGATTTTTTATTAAAATGTAAAATGGTTCGTTAGTTTGATTTTGAAGATAAATATTGAAATATTATTTTTTTTTCCCTATTGTAGACATCAGAAATGGAAACAGTTCTACAACATAAAACAAATATAATTATAACACGTCAATTACAATCTGTTATTGTTCGATTTTTTTTAGCTGATTTTAAAAATCGAATAGCTAGATCAGATTTTGGACCAGTTATTGATCCAACTGAAGGTTTCAATGAAATTTATTTAATATATTTAATTATTGATTATTATTATTATTATTATTATTAGGACGTCAATGGACAAGTTTTAATAAAGATCATGTTCCGCAAGCTGCTAATCGACCAGAACAACGACTTACTGATCGAGAAAGAAATGAACAGTAAAAATTTTTGTTATTAGTCTTATTAATTATTTTATTTTATTTCATAAATATAGAAATGCTCAACTCGAAAGACGATTACGAGAAGTAATTTATAAATCAAAGAGATCTTTTTTCAAAATCATTCTTATCTATCTTATTGGTTTTTATATAGGAAATGGTTAAACGACAAGAAACTGAACGAACATTACAAACAAAAATAGATCAACTTCAACGTGAAATTGATCATATGAGATATGCTGCTGTTCCACTAACAACACAATCAGTTCGAGCACCAACACCAGCTGAACGATATGTTGTTAATCCTCGATCACTAGTAATTAAAAAACAATAAATTTATATATATATATATATTAATTAAACTGTTCTATTTTGTTATAGCCTATTAGTCCAGTTAAACCAATAACAAGACAACAGCAAGGAAATAGTCCACTTCATGATCTACTTCGTAAAGTAACACACACATACAATCGAGGTTTGAATATTTTAATAAAAATAATTTATTCAAATTTAATGTTTTTTTTTTGTTTTTATTCTTTGTTAGTTGCACATGGTGATGGTAAAAATAGTGTTACATTGAATGAACAAACAAAAAATGATATACGAGTTCATAAACTTGATTTAAAAATGGCCGAACGACAAGTTGTCGGTCGAACATTACATGTTAATGAATGGAATCAATTAACAGAAGCAGAAAAACAAACTTATAGTCAACAAATGCTTGAAGTTGTTAAAACACGTATTCAAAATCGTTATAGTGATGGACGCAAATGATAATCGAAACAAACATATAAATAATTAATCTTTTACAATGCTTATATGAAATTATCTTTGGATATAAATAGATCATCTTATATTCTTCAAATAATGAAAATATATAACTGTTATCTTTTCTGAAGTTTATCATTTTCTCAATGTATAAGAAAATTATTCTATTCAAAATAAGCATTTCTTACGAATAAAAATTCTCGAGTTGAAGTCACCTTGTTAGATTCGATAATATCCGATAGTAGAGAAATTGTCGAATTCAATGGAATTAAAATATCTAGTTTTTGATTTTTGTGTTTATTAGACAACATATGAAATATATTTGTAATACTTTTTATGATGACATGAAGCTGTTTTCCGTTAATCCAGGGCCGACATTCACGCTCCTAAACGACTGTTCATGGTGAGAGTAGAAGTTATACAACTCAACGAATAGCACGTATAAATTATTGATTCTATTTATTTTTTTTTCATTTTAAATTTATTATTCAATAATTCAAAGTAATAATAAGTTGTAATAAAGTACATTTAAGCTGTTAATTTTCAGCTAATTGTACGCGAGTGGGGAGAACGGTAAGGAGCAAATAATGTCTCATTTCAAGATGTGTATTCAATATGATCCTATTGGATTGTTGAGGATATTTCATCGGATTAAATGGGATACAACTTTAGGATTCTTCGTCCTGAGTTATGTCTTACTCATATCACATGTTTGTTCGCAATATCGGCGGTATACCGCCATACTTATAAGAACCGGCGGTAGTACTTTCTGTCCTAATTCGAATTTATTACTAGCAAGAGTTCAAATTAATCGACAATAAAACAGTTTCAGAATATATTTTACTGATAAAAAATATGTAGCTAGAGAATTGTCATTCTTAATTATACTTCTATCGAAACCAGAATTGTTATATTAAAATTTCAAAAAGTAAGAAATTTTTTTTCAAATCATAAAATTATTTGGTTATCTTATCTCGAACGAAAATGAAATTTTCATTCATTAAAACGCTTCTTATATTCCGTTGCATAATGGAAAACGGCAAAAATTTTTCTCTAAGTATCATTTTGATTATAAATTCTGCACTACCAAAATTGTGATTCATGAATGAAGAATTGTACATTATAAATAGAATTTATTGCTTTTGTTTGATTATTTTTACATTATTTCAATAATGCATAATGTGTTAAATTTGAGAAGATACATTTTGATAATTTTGAAAAGTAACGTTTAGTGACTGTGTTAGATGATCATCTAATAGTTGTTAATTTCGATTGACTTTTTATTGAGAGAAAATCGACAAGTTTTACTAGTCATAGTAAAGACTTTGACAAAAGATTGTCTTCTAATGAGTTTTTCACTTTATTGATATCATCTTCTTGCAATAAAATCATTCGATAAACACATAGTTCTTTCTTTTTATCTATGGTTACATAAGTCTTTCGCATAGAATTTATTTATCAAAATTAATAGTCTTCGATTTAGAGAACTTTAACAGCTACAAAGTTTTTTCTTATCGATTGTTGCATCAATCAAATTATTTAACAAGAAAAAATTATGAAAATTAGTTCCAGAATTCAGAAGATTTTTTTCACAAGAAGATATAATCTGAGAATCAGAAGTCTCTTGGCTAAATCAAGAGATTTGATAACTCTGTTCAACTACGATGTCGTTACAGAATTCATAGTTCTACAAAAATTTGCGGAAAATTTTTAACATTCTGAGGCATGAATAGTCCAAAATACTCTAATATTCTTCTGCCAATCTTTTTAATTAGAAATATCTACATACTAACATTGTTAAACTGTTTTCCAAAAGATAGATCATTTGAGGAATAAAAATCTACAAGTAATCTATTTGTAAAATCAAAGTTGATAGATACAGATTTATGATACAAACGACATTTTAGTTGAAGAAAAATTGTCATTAGATTCTAAATAGAAAGAATCTCTTTCGTCACCAACCTTTTCGATCTCTCTTGATGGCACTCTATAGTATAGAAAAAAAAACATATCAATACTCGCCTTTTATATACTGTTATGTTTGTCAACAACGATAACAGTCTTTTTCTTTTCAGTGAATAATAACATGAGTTGAACCATTTCAAAATTTTCTCATACAAATCTAGATGAAGAGAACACCGTCATCCACTCATCCTCATAATATTTATGCAAGATTTTAAGTATTCTTCGTGAGTACATAAAATTTATAACAATAAAATCATTCGAAAAAAAAATGAAATATTGTCTCTTAAAAATAAATAACTTCGACAAAATTTTCTTAGATCTCGATTAGACTAGACTTTTTAGTTTGTCTTCAAATATATATGTCTTAGATCGTTTCGATAAGCTTCGAAATACATCAGCAATCTTGATATATTTTTCCTATGATCAAACAAAATGCACCAACCATTAGTAATACAAGAGACAATCCGACAATTCCAAAACAGACGCACAGTTTGATTAAATTAGATTTTCCATTAGAAACGTACCAGATCACTGATGTTACATTGTTTCGTTTATAGAAACATGGATAATGAGTGCCAACCTATGAAACAGAATCGATGACAATATTTAACATTTAGATTTCAATATGAAATCCTATACCTGTGTTTGTCTGTGTGGTGTGGCTTTGTTATAGCTAAGAAAACTACTATTAACAAGCATCCCATTGAAAATAACATATGACATGAAGAATTGTTCATCAAAACATTTAGCAATGAAACATGAATATTCACTACAACTTTGACATTCATGTACAATAAATGTATACTTTAATAAAAGACAACTTGTATTTGTATAAAGCTCACGTATCTGATGCTCGTTTGCATAATTAGAAGCTGCAATAGAACCCAAAACGATGCCAGCAATGAAAAAAAGAAATATAATGACCAATCCACAATACAAAACCAGCCGACCTATCCAGTAGCATACATTACCACACAACTTAACCATTTATGAATTCAATGTATATAACTTGCACTAAAACAATTTCGTACCGATTATTTATTCATTTGATCTGGTATAAAAATCCCACAAGCGTATAGGAAAAAATGACAAAATAATAGATGTTACGCTTCAATGCGATGTGACGTATTCGCTGAGAATAGAAAAAAAAAGTTTTATTGCTTTAAGGTGCTTGAAATAACGACGAAGTGATCGAAAAGTGCACATAGATCAACGAAGCGAGAGAAAAGCTCGATTCAATAAAAAAATTATGCACTTCATAACATAAGAAGTATTGAGTTATTTTTCTCAAGAATATATTGAACAAACAATCTGAATAGATAAAAGACTTCAAACAAATTGAGACAATATTCCTAATTCGACCAACTTTCTCGAAGATGTGAAAATTTTGCTTTTTTTTTTTTATAAAGAATTTCTAAAGAAACTTGTACATGTTTTTAAATAATTGAGAAGAAAAGTATCTATTGAATTGGATGATGGAAAAATCATTCAATGATCTAGAAAACTAATTGAGCAATAAGCCGTTTGTTTGATAATACTATATATAATACATAGAAAAGGAAATGTTTTTTTGTAAATGAATGCTTTTACCATCTGAACTTGAACATTTTTTTATGCTTCTGTTACAAAGAATGTTCCTTATTAACCAAGGAATATTCATCATGAAGTTCAATTTTTTTACAATAGATAAAGCCTGCGATATTGAACTTATAAAGATAGTCTGTCTATCCTTATTAGGAACATCTTTTTTTCTGATTGTTCGAATTGGAAGTGATGTTTCTAATAAGAACAAATTCAATTACTGCCTAACTAACGTTAATTACTCGATTAATATTTAACATTATTGAATCAGTTTTGTATCATTCGATTTAGTACATATTTTTCTATTCAATTATATATATTTCTTTAGAAGTTGTTTGAAAAAAAAAAGAAAAATTTTCGAGTCTTCGAGAAAGTTGTTCGAATTAGGATTATTATCTCGATTTGTTTCAAGATTTTTGTGTATTCAGATGTTTTATTCAATATATTCTTGAGAAAAATAACTCAATACTTCTTATGTTATGAAATACACAATTTCTTTGTATTGGATCAAGCTTTTCTTTCTCTTCGTCTACCCATGTGTAATTTTCGATCACTTCGTCATCGCTGTTTCAAGCAACTTAAAACAATGAATTTTTTTTTCTATTCCTATCGAATGTATCATTTCGCATTGAAGCGTAACATTGTTTGCATTCATTTCAGGATCGTCCGATCAGGTCTTGTATTAATAATTGTTGGATGACAGGAAAAATATGTAAAGATTGCTCATGTACTTCAAAGCTTACCGAAATGATCAAAGGAACGAAGAAGATCAATCCAAAGCAGATCAAAGAAAACTTGGATAAAATTATTCATTTTTAAGACAACAATAGTTAATTACTTCTCATAATTTTTTTGTTGTGAATTTTATATGCTCAGGAAAATAGTGATAATATTGAATAAATATGATGAAGGTCACTAGGTAAGGATCTTCTCTTCCTTTATTCATCCCTTAACAAATGCTTCCAATAGGCTTGCCTATCGTGTTCACTAAGAAGTGGTCGATTTCGATTAAAAATCGGTCAGTGAAAATTTAGAGTGTTCAGAATAATGAGGTAATCATATTATAGAGGCATTTACAATGGATACCTATGTACATCGGCAAAGGTGCAAAAAAAGATGAAGTTTGAAACGAATATTATACGAATATCCGTAGTTAGTTTGACTTTTATTCACATAAGATCTTTTACAGTTCAATATCAATGTAGATATTATTATCTTTTACAGTTAAGACCGACGTAATCATGGATGTTCGTGCGATCCGTAAAAATCCTTTTTTCCTAAATATTTTTATTTCAATAAAATGGAAAAAAACTTAAGTGTATCATAATAAAAAAAACACATGTATTACCCATATGTGTAACTGAAAATATTTGTAATTTGACCTAGCGAGAAATGATAATTCTTAATTTCGATATAAGAGTGTAGATGAGAAGACTTTCCAACACACCCACACTCAATGAAATTCTCTGTCGATATATCGAAAGACTTGTCATTGAAGAAGAGTATAACGATGGAATGATAGTCAAAGGTGACATGACCAAATTGCATAGCGAACAAAAGACAAATTTTTATATTACAACCTTCAAATTCTTATCCGATTTGCGATTGGTCATTACTTTCGTCTACTGAAGAACTGAGTTCGATAAGAACATTTGATCACAGCAAAATTAAAGTCGCTGCTTGAATTTCTGTAAAATGTAAAAAATGCAAAATGCTTTGCCGATCAATGTAATGTTCCTTTTTTTTATCAGCAACATCAATGAAGAAGTTGGAGCAATATTGTCTTTGCGCGCGAAGGTACAATAAAATTTACCAGTAAAGAGTCTCCTGGAGGTCAGAGCTGATGTTATAATGCTTTGAAATTCCAGTTAGAAAATTGCAGAATCAGAATCAAAAAGATCAATTATTTCATATTTTAATTATTTGTTATTGATACTTCTATAATCAACATTTCTTCTTCAAAGATAATCTTCCTTTAATGGAGATCTATCTTTTCTGATTTGTTTTCTCATAGATAAAGAATGCGTTCAACACGTGATTCAATTTCGTAGAGCTTAGAAACGATTGTGATTCCTATCACGCTACTGCGCTTCCACGCATTACTGTAACCATAAATTCTTTGTAGAAGAATAATAAGAAAAAAGCAAACACTTCAAATCGATTCTCTTTCACCATCGCTTAGAAAAAATAATACTACTCAAAATGCATTGTGAGTTTTAATGCGTACAACAGACGCCACATCGATTTCTTCGCTTGTCGTCAAAACATTGTAGAAGTGTTGAGTTTCGTTCCTTGGACATACTAAATTAATAACAAAGATGTTTGACGGTCCTTTACAATGGTATTTTCTCTTTGGAATTATTCAAAATGGGATGAAAATGCCCGTTGATTTAAAATTTCGGCCACCACTTAATCAAAGATTGTTCTATCATACGATCGAAATCGAACGTCATGTTCCAGCGACGGGACAGATCATTGAACGACAAGAAACAGAAAGCGTCGAAAAGATCGTTGCTATCAATAAGCCTAACATTTACATCACCAATTTGAAAGCGAAAATAGAACCACAAAATATGACTAAATTGGATCGACTATTAAAACGACCTTATTTTGATCGTCTAGAAGAACGAGAATTACCTGGTGATTTTCGATCTCAAGATCATCCATTCGGTTATGCATGGATGTTGTTTCCATCACCAGAAAGTTTGATGATACCGGATATTACTTTTTACGAAGGACAAAAGTGGTCCGTTAAAATGATTGGTGGTCTCTTTGAAATTCATTATGAACTAACCAACATCGACTACAAACAACACACAGTGCATATCGATGGTCGAAATGGTATCTGTTTGAATAGAGCAGCCGGAAATAAAAAATGGAATGCTTCTTGGATAGTCGATAGTCGTTCGGGAATAATTAAACAAATGCAACTCGAACTTGATCATGAATACGAATCACCTAAAAGAACTACACACAAAACAATCAACAAAGTACTCACAAGAGAAGTTGATGAACAGACGATTTTTGATTATGAAATTGACGATAATGATCACGAAGATCTATAGAATATGAACATTTATACACTCAAGACAAGTTGTATCAAAGACAAATATTTTCATAGATCGATGTTCTACTTGACAGTCTCTCTCGCTACTATCAGTCTTTCAGCTATCTTCCTTGATGAATACTTGCGACAACCCAGTGAAAAATATTTATCAAAAAGAACGACAAAGAACGCGTTCCAATTTCGTAGAAAATGTTTTTTAAGAAAAAAAACGTTTGCTTATAAAAGTGGAATCCGTTCCGAAATGGGACGGTCAAGAACACGTTCTCATCCTTAAGGAACGTGTTCTTTTCTTAAAAAAAAGGGCTTTCACGTTCTCGAAACGCGTTCTTGGTCGTTACAATTTAAGATGATGAACAACGCGTTCCTAGATCAGCTTTTCCTATGAGAACCCTCGAAGAGTTCCGAATGATTGATAAAACCTCTTAGTAACTCTCGAGAAGCCAGGCAAAAAGGTGAGAAATATCTGTAGACTGCCTAGGAAGTTCTTGGGCAGTCTACAGATATTTCTCACCTTTTTGCCTGGCTTCTCAAGGATTCCTAAGAGGTTTTATCAATCATTCGGAACTCTTCGAGGGTTCTCATAGGAAAAGCTAATCTAGGTACCACTTTTCCACGAAAGAATTTAAGAAGGGATTTATTAGATTTCTGCATTCTTACAGAAATCCTTAACAAAGATAACCGGGGCTTCACTCAATTGTCGTACAAGATCCATGTACCCTATCTGAGAAGCATATCCTCATCTAAAACAAAGTCAACAGAGGGAACATTTCTCAATCTACTCAATCTGAAATCACTGACGACTGTATATAACTACACTCCACGGAACAAAACTGACTGCTTCTATTAAGATGGAATAAAGCTAAAGAAGAACTAACTCTATCTTTATTAGATGGGAAAATGATTATTTTCATTAGAATGAAATAAAATTAAAGAAAAACTATCTCTATCTCTACTAGATGAGGAAAACGATCGTTTTTATTAAGATGGGATGAAAACTAAAGAAAAACTATCTATATCTCCATTAGATGAAAAAAATGATTTTTCTGGTTAAAATGCAATAAAACTAGAGGAATCTTAACCCAATTTTTACCATATAAAAAATGATTCTTTTTTATTAAGATGGAAAATAACGAAAGGAAAACTAACTCCAACTATACTAGATGAAAAAAATGATTTTTCTGATTAAGATCAAATAAAACTAAAGAAACACTAACTTTATCTTTATTGAATGAAAAAAAAATGAGTATTTATATTAAGATCGAATAAAACTATAGGTAAACTAACTCTATCTCTACTAGATAAAATCAATGGCTATTTTTATTACGATGGAATAAAAGCAAAAGAAAACTAATGGCAAAGTATACTAATTTGTCAATCATTTTATTTAGTTTTATTCAAAAACAATAGTGATGCTTTCCACCTATATACAAGTTCATTATCAACATAAAATGATGGAAAGTGAAAAATATGTACAAAATTGTTCCTTTTCTTTGTTCTGCTCTGACCATTGATAAACATTGCAATGAAAGGAAGAGATAATATTTCGATCGCACTGCAATGTTTATCAATAGTCAGAACAGAATAAAAGAAAAGAATAGAACAATTTTGTACATATTTTTTACTTCCACCATATTGTGTTAATAATGACCTTATGTATAGGTGGAAAGCTTCACTATTGTTTTTGAATAAAACTCAATAAAATACTTCTTGACGAATTAGTATACTTTGCTGTTAGTTTATTTTCTTATATCTCGTCCAATAATATAAATAAAAGAAAACTAACTCTAACTATATTAGATGAAAAAATGACCATTACTATTAAGGTCGAATAAAATTAGAAGAACACTAACTCTATGTCTATTAGGTGGAAAACATTACTATTTCTATTAAGATGGAAAAAAATTAAAGCAAAACTAACTCTGTCTTTACTAAGATGGAATAAAACTAAAGAAACACTAATTTACCTCCATCGGATGAAAAAAATGATTATTTCTGCTAAGATTGAATAAAACTAAAGGAATTTTTAAAAAAATTATTTTTTTGATTAATATCGAAAATAACCGAAAGGACACTCATTGTTTCTTTGCTACTTAGATAAAAGAAATGATTGTTTCTATTAAGATGTAATAAAACTCAATGCGCAATACAATACAAATTGTCGAAAAAGCTTGTTAAGTTCATCAAAGAGAAGAATTATTGTATACTCGTTTGCTGAACGACTCTGAATTTTTCTAGAATCCTTCTTATTGTTACACATTTCTTGTGTCTATTTTTATTGTTTTTGTCAGTGTATTGTGAATAAGACTGTCACGATATCGACAGCTAAAAGCTCAACGTTGAAAACAGATGTTGATAGAAGAACTAAGAGTTATGATGATAATTTTTTATGCAGAAAACAATGAGAAAAAAATTTAATATATTTGAGAACACTGACAAATCCATTTGGAGCTAATCAATATTCTTTCTCAATATAACAGGATAATTTTATGTTGGGTACGAAACGGACGAGAAGGTGTTCTGTATTTTTAAAATTGATTTTTGAATTCACGAGAAAGCATTCGACAATTTGAAGAACGACAGAGAACGCCTTCTTTTCCCTCTAAGAATGATGTTGTATTGTCGGAGCGTGTCCATCAGTTTGAAGAATCCATTCTCAAGTATTTCTTGAGAGAAGGTCAAAGAGAGCATTCTCATTTTGATCGAATCCGATTCTGACCGTTCCAAAAATGAACAGTTCAGAAAGCTTTCTCTTCAAATGAAGAACGATTTTGAACCGAGAAGAAACCATCCCATAAAAACGTGGAATGACAAAGAATGCGTTCCTTCAGATGCATAACTCATTCTTATCGCTCACGAACACATTCGCCAAACTATAGAACGTGTTCTTCATGAGAAAGGTAACTTTCCATGTTTCGCGGAATGCGTTTACTTCCGTTTGTTTCCATGATTATTTTTCACTGGGAATTTGACTCGTTGTACTTCTTCGCTATATGACTTATGATTAGGTGTTGAGACCACAGGAAATAGAATCGATTCAGTGTATACGCGAAGTATTTCGTTCTCGAGAATTGACAGACGATTCTAAAATGAATTATAAACTCACATTTGACTAACATGGGTTTTTTTATACTAAGAAACGCACAAACGAGATCGTTTGCTTTTTTTATTGATTTAGAAATTATTTTATTCGAAGTATTAATTGATTCCATGAATTACAAATGTCACCCTGACATGTGAAAGAGTTGATGATTTACATTAAGTTTCTTTTAATTTCCTCCGAATTTTCTTCTTGACCAACTCGATGAGACACACGCATAGAATACAATACAAACCCTCATCATTATCAACAGTCTCAACTTGGTTAAGCATCTTTTAAAAATTTTGATATATAGTGTAGTGGAGTATCGTTTGATGTTTTAAATTATGTTAGATCAATAATAATTAGAATTCATCTTGCATGTGAGTCAATTTTGAATATTAGGTGGGATCAGATAAATGAGTATACAACCTACTAACAGTGGATGCCACAGTTTTTTCCATTATATAATCGTCATCGATGCTATTTTCAATAGCAATGGCGAATAGATTAGACAGTTCACTTAAATTGTCTTTTACATCGTTTTCTATTTGATCGATCGATCGATCGATCTATTGTTGAGATAATCGAATGAGGCTTATCATAACATCGTATGCAACAGACAATATAGAAAATTTCTGTTTCGACGGAACTCTGATGGCGTCATCAAATCACTCTAGCGCTTCCAGAATTCAGTTTATTGAGCGGTTTTTCAGTAATAATACCCTCTAACGAGCCAAGTCGTTCGTACAATTTATCGTGCCTATATTGACTGATTTAATCCAATTATGGATCTATTTCGGAATCATCGAATTGGGTCGTATGTTAATAATTGTTGGTACATGTTGTTGGATGATAGAAAAAAAAA